ATTCCCCAGAGTAGTGTTTTAAGTTTAAGTTAAGAGGTGCGCATATTGGTGTACCATTATTTGATTGTGTTTGTAGTGTTGGAGGGAATATAAGTGTCTAAATTTTACAGTGTGTCTCATTCATCCCAGTCACAGACGCTATCCTTCCACGGGTCACGGACAATTCATTTTGTGTAGTAGATTTAAGTGTTCTTGTGCTGGTTCGGGATTTTTCTCAAAGGGGCGCTTCCACTGCCATTACCATCTATTAATTTTTAATAAACCCCAAGTCAAGTGAGAAATTAAAGTCCAGCAAATTCCGACCGGTTACATATATATATATATATATATATATATATATATATATATATATATATATATATATATATATATATATATATATATATATATATATATATATATATATATATATATATATATATTCGTTAGAGAATATTATATTAAATAACTTTATAATATCTTCCAATTGATTAAGACATTACTATATGTTGACCTTTGACCTGCACTTATGACCTGCACTTATTGGCCAGTAGAATAAGGCGATAGTCAGTTCACTAGAAATGTTTTAATCATTGTCGAATGAAAAAGAAATATACATTATTTTAATTAGTTTCTGAGCTCAGGAAACATCACCATTACTAATTATCTGTAATTAGTAAATACCTTTTATCAGCGACCAACTGTAATTAGCGTCTACCTTTATCTAACGTCCACCTGTAATTAGCGTCCACCTTTATCGAACGTCCACCTGTAATTAGCGTTGACGTAACTCGATAATCACTTTCGTTTATCGTTTAAGGTAATACCAATCAGGTTAGCTAAATTTATCGATCACCTTTCAGTAAGTTCGCCTGTAATTACTGGCCGTGTATTACAGCCGTCAGATTTAATTCATTATTTAGGTGAGATAGAGTGTGAGGTATTGGTCCATTATGTGCAGAGGTTTATATACACACTACCATCCTGTGCACAGCTAGACGTACACACTACTACCATCATGTGCACAGCTAGACGTACACACTACTACCATCATGTGCACAGCTAGACGTACACACTACTGTCATGTGCACAGCTAGACGTACACACTACTACCATCATGTGCACAGCTAGACGTACACACTACTACCATCATGTGCACAGCTAGACGTACACTCTACTGTCATGTGCACAGCTAGACGTACACACTACTACCATCATGTGCACAGCTAGACGTACACACCACCATCATGTGCACACCTTGACGTACACACTACCGTCATGTGCACCTTCTAAACGTACTACAGACATGTACTGCAGCTAGACGTGCACACCACTGTCATGTGCGCAGCTAGACATGCACACTACTGTCATGTGCACAGCTAGACGTACACACTACGAACACATGTGCACAGCTAGACGTACACACTACTGTGTCATGTGCGCAGCTAGACCCGGCACACACTACTGTCATGTGCACAGCTAGACGTACACACTATCGTCATGTGCACAGCTAGACGTACACACTACCGTCATGTGCACAGCTAGACGTACACACAACCATCATGTGCACAGCTAGACGTACACACTACCTTCATGTGCACAGCTAGACGTACACACCACCATCATGTGCACACCTTGACGTACACATTACCGTCATGTGCACAGCTCTTCTTTCCCTCTTCTTCTTCCTCCTTATCCTTTTCCTCCTCCTCCTCCTCCTCCTCTTCCTCCTCCTTCTCCATCTCCTCATCCTCCTCCATCTCTTCCTCCTCCTCCACCTCTTCGTCCTCCCTCCTCCTCCTTTCTCCTTCTTCCTCCTCCTTCCTTCTCCTCCTTCCTCCTCCTCCTCCTCCTCCTCCTCCTCCTCCTCCATCTCCTCATCCTCCTCCTCCTCCTCCTCCTCATCCTCCTTCATCTCCTCCTCCTCCTCTTCCTCCTCCTTTTCTTCCTCCTCCTATAGGTAGGAGGATAAATCTTAGCAAAGTTTACCTCCGGGATTATTATAAGGTATTGGCCAGTAGGGTTAAGACCGAGATAAGGAAAGCAAGGAGGAATAATGAGCTGAGGATAGCAAGGGAGGCGAAGACAAACCCCAAGGGATTCTATCAAATGTATCAAACTAAAACACAAGAAAAGATTGGGCCAGGACAGTCAGATACCAGCGAGCTAATTGATAACGACGGAGAAATGAGCAATAATCTGAATAAATATTTTTCAACAGTTTCACCACCGAAAATTTAAACATGATACCCGAGGCACCGACTCTATACAGAGATAGTGAAGAAAACAAATTATGCGAGATAGTAGTGACTAGTAACGATGTTAGTAAACAAATAGACAAACTAAAGTCTAATAAGTCACCTGGTCCTGATGAGATATTTGCCAGAGTATTAAAGGAATGTAAGGAAGAGCTTAGTATGCCCTTAACAAAGTTGTTTAACATGTCCTTAAAAACAGGTGTAGTACCAGAATCTTGGAGGATAACGAATGTGTTACCGATTTTCAAGAAGGGGGATAGATCACTATCCTCTAACTACCGTCCAATCAGTCTAACATCAATTGTAGGCAAATTACTGGAAGCAATCATTTTAAACTCTATTCGAAACCACCTGGAGAAGCACAAATTGATCAATGATTCCCAGCATGGCTTCACAAGCGAACGTTCATGTCTAACTAATATATTAACATTGTTTTCATCAGTTTTCGAATCGGTGGACGAGGGGCACAATTATGATGCGGTATATCTCGACTTTAGCAAAGCCTTCGACAGAGTCTCCCACGAAAGACTAATAAGAAAGGTAGAAGCACATCGCATTAAAGGTAATATTCTAAAATGGATTAGGGCGTGGTTACAGGACAGGAAACAGCAAGTGAGCATTAACGGCACTAAATCCCATTGGAGCAACGTCACTAGTGGAGTTCCCCAAGGCTCAGTACTTGGACCATTATTATTTATTATATACATAAACGACATAGATATCAGCATAGACAGCAACATAAGTAAATTTGCTGATGACACTAAAGTAGGACGTGTAATTAAATCTGATGAGGACTCCGCAAAACTACAGGAAGATCTAAGAAAATTTTTTTGAAGGGTCTGAAAAATGTCAGATGAAATTCAATGTGGACCAATATAAAGTACTCCGTATAGGAAACGTAATCAGGGAAACCAGTTACCAGATGAACAACGATGCCATTGTGAAATCCGACTGCGAGAAAGATTTAGAAGTAATGATAAGTAGGAATCTTAAGCCAAGTAAACAATGTGTTTTTGTTCGTAACAAGGCTAATTAAGTACAAAGGAGTGTTACTTACAAGACTAGCGAGGTCATCTTAAGATTATATCTTGCGCTTGTGAGACCTCACCAGGATTACGCAGTTCAGTTCTGGTCACCGTATTACAGAATAGATATAGAATCCTTGGAAAGAATCCAGAGGAGAATGACAAGACTAATCCCGGGCATTATGAACCTTGAGTACAGAGACAGGATAGAGCATCTTAATTTGCACTCCCTCGAGACACGTAGAGCGAGGGGCGACATGATAGAGGTGTATAAATGGAAGTCAGGGCTAAACAAAGTGGACATTACAAAGGTACTCAAACTATCCAACCAGGAGCGATCTCGTAAAAATGGTTTTAAATTAGACGAATTTAGATATAGGCGCGAAATAGGTAAACACTGGTTTGGAAACAGAGTAGTGGATGAGTGGAACAAGTTACCAAATATCATCATTAACTCGAATACGCTGGATAGCTTCAAACACAGGTTGGATGCTTATATGAGCAATAAGGGTTGGGTGTAAACGGGACTGCCCAGTATGGGCCAATAGGCCCGCTGCAGTTTCCTCTATTCCTATGTTCTTATGTTCCTCTTCCATCTCCTCCTCCTCCTCCTCCTCCTCCTCCTCCTCCATCTCTTCCTCCTCCATCTCCTCTCTTCCTCCTCATCTCCTCCTCCTCCTCCATCTCCTCCTCCTCCTCCTCTCTCCTCCTCCTCCATCTCCTCATCCTCCTCCATCTCCCCTCACTCCTCCCTCCTCATCCTCCTCCATCCTCCTCCTCCTCCATCCTCTCCTCCTCTCCTCTCCTCTTCCTCTTCCTCCTCCTCTCCTCATCCTCCTCCATCTCCTCATCCTCCTCCTCTTCCTCTTCCTCCTCCATCTCCTCATCCTCCTCCATCTCCTCATCCTCCTCCTCCTCCTCCATCTCCTCATCCTCCTCCATCTCCTCCTCCTCTTCCTCTTCCTCCTCCTCCTCCATCTCCTCATCCTCCTCCATCTCCTCCTCTTCTTCTTCCATGCCCTCCTCCTCCCTGGATGAGCTGTGGACGTGACACGGTGAGAGGCTGATCAGATATTTGCGGTGGGGTGAAGACTCTCAATGATTGGCCAGCTTTGTTTGTTCCCGTGTGTGTGTGTGTGTGTGTGTGTGTGTGTGTGTGTGTGTGTGTGTGTGTGTGTGCGCGCTTAATGGTCAGCATGCTCGCCTCTCAATAAGTGGACCCGGGTTCGATCCCCGGGCAGGGTGAAACTATGGGCAAGTTTCTTTATGCCATTTGCCTCTGTCTACCCAGCAGTAATTAGGATTCCTAATTTAGGAACCTGGATATTAATCGGTTTGTGGATCGTGTTCCGGGGTAATGGTTAGCCATTGCAGTTGGTGAGTTGTCCGGTCTTCATTGGGTCATGCAGCTCGTTAACTCAGGGTGTGGTTGTTGTGTTGGCGATAGCTTCTACACCTTAAACAAATTCACGCTTAAGTGGTCCTTGTGCAGGCCATCCTTGATCACGAGGAACAACCTTTATTATTATTATTATTGTTATTATTATTATTATTATTATTATTATTATTCGTGCGCTATCAAATATACATGTATATGCATATTTGTGTGTATGTGTTGGTGTCTTAGAGTGTATGCCCGTGTATATTTATAAATGTATTTGAAAATCTATACCAAAGTACATGCATGTTTAGGAAGACAAACTATATACATACTGTATACAAAGACTGAAACACGTGAATGTTTGTTTCCCTGTACACCGTCACCAGGGCAACACCGTCACCAGGGCAAACACCTGTCACCAGGGCAACACCGTCACCAGGGCAACGCAACACCGTCACCAGGGGCAACACCGTCACCAGGGCAACACCGTCACCAGGGCAACACCGTCACCAGGGGGCAACACCGTCACCAGGGCAACACCGTCACCAGGGCAACACCGTCACCAGGGCAACACCGTCACCAGGGCAACACCGTCACCAGGGCGGGCAACACCGTCACCAGGGCAACACCAACACCGGGCAACACCGTCACCAGGACCTTACCGTCGGGCAACACCGTCACCAGGGCAACACCGTCACCAGGGCAACACCGTCACCAGGGCAACACCGTCACCAGACTTACCGTCACCAGGGCAACACCGTCACCAGGGGGCCACCGTCACCAGGGCAACGCGTCACCAGGGCAACACCGTCACCAGAGACGCTTACCGTCACTGGGGGCAACGCACCGTCACCAGAGGCTTACCGTCACCACGCACCGTCACCAGGGCAACACCGTCACCAGGGCAACACCGTCACCAGGGCAACACCGTCACCAGGGTCACCAGGGCAACACCGTCACCAGGGCAGCACCGTCACCAGGGCAACACCGTCACCAGGGCAACACACCGTCACCAGGGCAACACCGTCACCAGGGCAACACCGTCACCAGGGCAACACCGTCACCAGGGCAACACCGTCACCAGGCAACACCGTCAGGCAACACCGTCACCAGGGCAACACCGTCACCATGGCAACACCGTCACCATGGAAACACCGTCACCAGGGCAACACCGTCTCCATGGAAACACAGATTTAAACATATCAAGGGAAGGTGTCACCAACTATCTCGGGAGGAGTCAGGGACAGGCGGAAGATGTAAACAAGATGCTATCACAGTGGCAGAAGGAGCGTGGGGGTTTAGGAGGTCAGGAGGCCAGGTCAGGAAGTCAGAGGGTCAGGCGCTTAGGTCTGGAGGTCAGGAAGTCAGGGGGTCAGGCGGTGAAATCAAAAGGTCAGGATGTTAAAAAGTCAGGAGGTCAGGCCAGAAGGTCAGGACAAAAAGTCAGGTCAAAAGACCAGAAGTTTACAAAATCAGAAAGTCAGAAGGTCAGGTCAGAGGGGTAGGTATTCAGGAGGTCAGGTTTGAGGGTCAGGACGTCAGGCCAGGAGGTCAGGTCAGGTCAATAGGTCAGAACATAAAGTAGAAGGAAGGACAGTAGTTGCGTGGTGTAGGTTAAAATGTCTTACAAACTGAGACTGAACACTCACACATGATATCGCGAGGCTCTGTTGCAGGTGCGTGGTGAGGTATGGGATTTTACAGGTGTGTCGGAAGGTGTGAGGTTTAACAGGTGTATGTGTGGATGTTTGAAGTTAGAATAGTGTGAAAGATAAAGCAAGGATTTGAGCAGATGTAAATTCCGATTAGGACGAGATCTACAGAAGATATCAAATATACGAATAAAAACTACCAATAGGGTGACAGAGAAAGAGACACTGGCCTTAGACTCGAGCTGATAATAAGAGACTGTTATTAGAATGCGTGTGTCTTGTCAGTTTATAAATGAAGTGTTTATATACATTTATATAAATTAATTTGTATTGTAGAGATGTTTGTCTCATTCATTCATTTAAATATATGTAATTATAGACAAAGTATAAATGTCATTTCTACACACACACACACACACACACACACACACACACACACACACGTACGTTTCAGTTACAATACCATGACAAAACTAAGCCTTGAACTTTATATATTAAAAAAATTCGCGTATATTGGGGCGACATATATCACTCTAGTACAGCTGAAGCCTTGAACCTCCAGCCACACTATACGGGTACAACACTATACAGGTACAACACTATACAGGTACAACACTATACAGGTACATCACTATACAGGTACATCACTATACAGGTACAGCACTATACAGGTACAGCACTATACAGGTACAACACTATACGGGTACAGCACTATACAGGTACAACACTATACAGGTACATCGCTATACAGGTACAGCACTATACAGGTACAGCACTATACAGGTACAACACTATACAGGTACATCACTATACAGGTACAACACTATACAGGTACATCACTATACAGGTACAACACTATACAGGTACAACACTATACAGGTACAACACTATACAGGTACAACACTATACAGGTACATCACTATACAGGTACAACACTATACAGGTACAACACTATACGGGTACAGCACTATACAGGTACAACACTATACGGGTACAGCACTATACAGGTACAGCACTATACAGGTACAGCACTATACAGGTACAACACTATACAGGTACAGCACTATACAGGTACAGCACTATACTGGTACAACACTATACAGGTACAACACTATACAGGTACAAATACTATACAGGTACAACACTATACAGGTACACAACACTATACAGGTAATAACACTATACTGGTACAGCACTATACAGGTACAACACTATACAGGTACAACACTATACGGGTACAGCACTATACTGGTACAACACTATACAGGTACAACACTATACAGGTACAACACTATACGGGTACAACACTATACAGGTACAGCACTATACAGGCACAACACTATACAGGTATTATCACTATACAGGTACAGCACTATACAGGTATAGTACATACAGGTACAGCACTATACACGTACAACACTATACGGGTACAGCACTATACAGGTACAACACTATACAGGTACAACACTATACAGGTGCAACACTATACAGGTACAACACTATACAGGTACATCACTATACAGGTACAGCACTATATAGGTACAGCACTATACAGGTACAGCACTATACGGGTACAACACTATACGGGTACAGCACTATACAGGTACAACACTATACAGGTACAACACTATACAGGTACAACACTATACAGGTACAACACTATACAGGTACAACACTATACAGGTACAACACTATACAGGTACAACACTATACAGGTACAGCACTATACAGGTACAACACTATACAGGTACAACACTATACAGGTACAACACTATACTGGTACAACACTATACAGGTACAACACTATACTGGTACAACACTATACAGGTACAGCACTATACAGGTACAACACTATACAGGTACAACACTATACAGGTACAACACTATACTGGTACA